GACACGTGACGAGCCTCGGCTCAACGTGGACGCGGACGGGGCTCGGCCCACCGTAGACGCGGCTTGACGAGACGAAAACAGGGCAGCCGCATCACCAGCGCTGCCTGAAGGGGGAAAAGGGTGTCGGCCGCAGACGTGCTCCGCCAGGCACATGATGGAATTGGAACCAGTCCTTTGTACCTGCGGGGTCCAGTTGGTCTGGTGATTCTGTCACGTAGCGAGGTGGTGGACCCCAAAAAAGCAGGCAGGAGGGAGGAGCAGAGTGTACTTGAAAGATTGTATTAAAACTCAGAAAACCAAATCCAAAACAAACAAAAGTCCAAAGTATCAAACAAAACACATGACCGAAGATAAAACATAACAATGACCAAAACCTGACTGAAACAAACATGACAGTAGCACAAAGCAACAATGACACGACAATGATTGCTCGGGCTGGGAGTCCTCTTAAAGCCACTAATTATCTAATGACCAACAGGTGTGCAGCTGCAGGGGAGCCCTACAGTGCCACCTGTTGGTCCCAAATCGAATCATGACACAAAACATGGGAAATGGAAGGATTAAGTGTTGTAGGCAGTCCTGAACAGGTGTGTTTTTAAACGGGACTTGAAAGTGGAGAGAGGTGTACAGTTTTGGAGGTAAACTGTTCCAGAGCTTTGGAGCAGCGCGACTGAAGGCTCTGGCTCCCATGGTGCTCAGGCGGGCAGGGGGCGCTGACAGGCGGAGGGAGGACGAGGATCTGAGGGAGCGAGTGGGGGTATGCACCTGAAGGTCGGACAGGTAGGGAGGGGCCAGGTTTTCAGGGGGGCAAGAGAATTGAGAATATTTGTGAGGCAGGTGTTGTAGAGAGCAATGAGGTCATCTGGGTTTGAAAGAGTGTCTGGGGGCAGGGAACGGTCGATAATGGAGCAGAAGGTGTCAATGTTGATATTTTTGGTGTTACGAAAAGAAATGAGGCGGGGGGTTTTGATTGTAGAAAGGCGGAGTACGGTGTTAAAAGTGAGGAGGAAGTGGTCGGTTACAGGAAGAACATCAGCAGTGGGCTTGGAGGGGGTGAGACCAGAGCAGCAAACCAAATCCAATGTGTGGCCTTTGATGTGGGTGGGGAAGTCAATAAGACGATGTGTCCCAAGGCTCTCCAGACAGGATGCGAAGTCTGGTGAGTGGCAGGTCGAGGTTGTCCATGTGAATATTGAAATCTCCCAGCCAAATTAAATTTGGCGGGAGAGTGGATAAATGTGTGATTAGGCTGGAATATTCATTGATAAAATCACGATGTGGCTTCGGGGGGCAATAAACTGTCGCGATGATGGTTGGCGAGGGTCCAGGGAGCTTAAAAACCAGGCATTCAAAAGAGCTTGATGCAGGAACGGAGACAGGCAGGACTTTCCACTTCTCGCGGTGGATTACAGCGAGGCCTCCTCCACGGGAACGGCAGATGTAAACAAAGCCGGGAGGAGTTGAGTCATTCAGTGCAGCGAAGTCGTTCGTCTGTTGCCAGGTTTCTGTTAAAACGAGGAAGTCGAGTTTGCGGTCGGCGAGGACATCTTGGATGAGGTGTTGTTTTAAAACATTTCTGATACCTCGCCCTGGCTCAGTATCAAATTTAGAATAGGTTCGTTGGAGATAGGCACTCAGAAATGAAACACAAGAGACAAATCTGCTACTAACAAATTGCACGTTTATTAGCCCCACAGAATATGTCAAACAAACAAATATCAGAAACACAAGAGACAAATCTGCTACTAACAAATTGCACGTTTATTAGCCCCACAGAATATGTCAAACAAGCAAATATCAGT